GTTAACTCAGTTGTTACTCTAAATGTCCTTCCTGTTTTCTGTCCTGTCAGCACTCTTTGTCCTTCTTTACTGTTACACTCAGGATTTAGGCTTGTGGATGTCAGTCTCTGATTGGATGGTTTCATTACCTTTGTCTGAATGCCTCTGCTCAATAATGTCTTTAAGATGGAAGGCTGCTGCAGGTTGGCCCTGATTTTAGGCTCTTTGTATTTTTAACCACAATATATCGTCAAGCTTTTCTCTGGCCAGCTAATGCTATTTTGAGGAAGAAGTTCTCACTTTTGTTACTTAAGTATATATACTGGAGGAAAAATATAATATTACTCAAGTAAAAGAATCCATGAAAAAAAATCTACTAAATTAAAAGTATTAAAGTACCCATTTAAAATTGTACTTAAGTAGTAAAAAGTCAAATTTTATTTTGAGGTCTTGTAAAGCTTCAAATGTAGTGATTTATACAGATTTGTGCTGAATTTTGTTCAACAGAAATGGAAGCCTAATGTTATGCCAGTGGGGAGGGATGTTAGCTACTTGATTTAAGGTTCATACACGTTTTCTGTCAGTAGCACAGTAGTATAGTGTAGTGTTGTCCAGTTACAAAAAAATCTATCTACTATAGTGTGCTAGCAATAGCAAATCCAGTTTGTTTAAAAAGCTTCATCAATAAGAACAAAATTGACCAAAGGGCTAGTAAAGAAAAGACAAAAACCGAACAGAAAAACAGAAAAAGTAAAGACATTAAAAACTGATTAACAGCCAAATTAAGGCAACAACCACCCTGTATAAGCAACTTTATGCACCTTCCTTACTTATGAGCAGACTTTTCTTTACTTCATGACCTATTGTTTTCACTGAAGATGTTACCTGACCAGCTGGAACCACACACTTTGACAAAACTACAAAGATGAGTGAATCTGGAACTTTCTGTCTTCCTGATTTCTCAGGGTGTGATTGACAGGTGGATTAACCAATCAGAGAGATGCATGCTCCGTTTGCATCAAAACAAATATGATGGATTAAATAAAGGACTGAGAAGCTGCATGGATTCTTAAAAATGAATTGTTCTGAATGTTATTAGAATTTTCAAGAGGAGTTGTCTTCCGCATTTGAGAGACACGTGCTTGTGGTTGGACCGTCTCAGGTTTTGATGAAGTTTTTTCACGCTCTTTGGTCCGGTTCCAGTCCCTTCAAACAGAATGCAGAAGGAACTGTCTGGTCAGGCAGCTGAGGTAGTTGTTCAGAATAGAGACATTCTGCCTGGAAACTGTCAAGGTTAAATTCCTCCTGACTGTTGTAAATGTGTCTCCTGAATTGGGGAGTCTAAACATGTCCACACAATTTGGTTTGTTTACCCTTGGCGTCGCCCTCATTCGTTCCTGTCTAACTTCCTTTTATCTACAATATTTTGTTTTATTCACAGACTATTTTATATAGCTAATACATTTTAGTGTAATGCCCTTTCCTGTCATTCCATCCCTGGCAAAAGACTTGATATTGTAACTTTTATCCATAATATAAATTAAAGTAAAAGTCATACTAAAGTGTTGTTTTTTTTTCATTATGGGGGTGGTTATTGCATGGAAAACTTTACCTTTTTCATTATGGAGGTGTTTATTACTAGAAAAACCTTACTTGAGTGGGCTTGCATCTTCCCAAAAATATCTTTACTTGCTTGTTTCCACAGAAATGTTGTTCTTTGGCAATATCATTTATCAAAGTATGGCATAAAACTTATCTCTCTCCCTGGAGAATGTTCCAAACTGTGGTTTTAACTTTCTATTTCCATGGAAGCATGCAGTTCACTTCCTCCAGGAAGTTACATACTACTACTACTAAAAAAAAAAAAAAAAAAGTAACTTAATCAATCTTGGCATCTATAGTTTAGCCTATAATAGAAATTCAAGATTATGGCATAGTCTATGTTCTATAATGCATAACAATATATATATATATATTATCTTAACAGATCCAGCAAATGGTAATGATACAAATGCTTTTTATTTTTATATTCCATCATTGTATTATTTACTTTTTCTTTGCCATAACTTTGTGCCCCCAGAGCCCTCACAGTCCCTTCGTCACTTCATCTATCTCCCCTCTGCTGTGGTTTCCAATCACAGACCCTTCCCCGATACCTCTCTCACGCTCTCTCTCCCTCTCTCCCTCTTATCGCTCTGACACTTCCAGTAGATAGCACCCCTTTGCTCCTCCTCATCATATCTAATCTTCCATGACAGACCTCTTTCTAGTGAGGGAGGGCAGAAAATATGCACGGCTTTAAAAATCATCCTCACCCCAGGAGCTAAACTAGGCATTGCACGACTTCTTCACGTCCACAAAAGGCTAAAGAGGATCCAGAGTCTGTGATAAAGGGGCATATTGAAGTATTATATTGAAGCAGAGGTTTAGTGAATATCTGTTTTGTCTTGCATGAGCTGACAAATAAGAAACATGGTTGCTTGATTATAGGAGCCAGGAGAGCAGGAGTTTTGGCAAATTTTAGATAGGCTGTCTAAATGTGTTTACTTGTAGCATTTTCACATTTGAAAGTCACTTGCTTCTATCAAATGAAATGTTATTGCTTTCCCAAGAATTTTACAGTATGGCATTACCTTATTTATCTTTATTCCATTTAACATGTTTCTTATACTTTAAACAATACCTTGAAAAATGCACATTCTTATTGTGGAGCGGAGTTGGCTCTCCAGATCAATAGATAGATAGATACTTGATTGATCCCAAAAGAAATTCATATTTCAGCAGCAGCAACAATGAAACATAATAACATCATAATATACCAGTCCATCCTCTTGTATTCATAGCAATGCGTTATACGAATGTATGCCATGTGGAACAAGGTTCAAGGGACAGAAGGTGCTCTCCTGTCCGGTGATGGTGCTGCACTAGGGGTTATTCATGATGGGCAGGAGCATCCTGTAACATCAACAGCTTGTATCCATGTTCTATGGAGCAATCCAGACAAAGCACTAACATCTCTATAGAGACAAGCAGGTGGTTGATGGTCTTCCAGCAGAACAATAAGTCAAAATCTAAAGGAAAATTATTTTTAATATTTAATTTTTTGTATTTTTAGGATTTTTCCTGGTTTCTTTCAGTATCACAGTATATGGGAAAAGCAAAACCATGTATTTGGTATGTTATCTATTGTTCATGTGCAGCCATGTGAATAAAAGTATAATCAAAAAATGTAAGAAATGTGAAATCCGGAAAATAAAAATAAAAAAGATGCTGTTACTTGATGAGCAGCATCCATGTTTGCTGGGGATTTTAGCATAAATCTGCACCCTTAAGCCCTGTGTATCTTGTATTTGGCCCAACCACACCCCATTAGACGCTTAATGTTCAGGGTTATGTCCTCACAGCAGGCAGGGGGCAGCAGAGGGGTCTTTTTTTTTTTTTACATGCTTCCCGCGTCCATCACCGTCGGCTTGATAATGAAATTCGATTACAACTTTCTCCCCATTCCCAGATCCTGTCTCACTTATCTACAAGGGACAGGCACTTTATATCCCGGGGGTGGCTCTTTTTAACTGGGTTCCTCTTCAGCGACTATTGGGAGCGATATTACATAGTCCAAGATGGCAGCAGGTGCACTATTCCCCAACGCTGTCATCCTTCTGTATCAGAGAAAAGAGAGATACTGGTGTGTCTCCTTTGCTTTGGTCCAGGCAGGATTGTGAGCCGTGACGAAAAGAAGGGATTATGAGTTACAAATAATGTGGCCTATTTTGGAGAGCGGGCTGCCGTCCCAAATCGCCATGGTTTTCATAGAGAGACAGCAGGCGAAGAACTGAAAATCGTATGCACGGCATTCAACTTTACATGCTAAAGATAGTAACCAGAGCAAATTGATATACATTAAAGGGCCCATATTATGCTGTTTTCTGATTTATGTTAATGTTGTTTCCTCATCAACACATACCTGGAGTTGTGTTTTGTTTCATTCACACAGTTTAAAACACAAATCCTACTGAGGTCTTCTCTCAAACAAAAAACGCTTGTGATGTCATGTGGTAATACAGAAAGTGCTCCACTGTTTTTTGTTTTTGTTTTTTTTTAACTCCATACACCTTCACTAGACTAATTTGGATGAATTGCCAATCTTTACTTAAAGGTAAAAGATAACTGTTAACTTGAAAACTATGGCTTCATGACATCACAACGTGGAACAGAGCATTTTGAGCTTTGGAGATATAGTCAGATTAATTATAAAGGATTACTCAAACGTGTGAATGAAACAAAACACAACTCCAGGTATCTTTTTGATGAAGTCATAGCATTACTACATGGCTAAAAGCTCACAGGAGTCAATTTTGCATAATATAGGACCTTTTAAAGAACACATATTATGCCAAATTATTTAAAAACATACCAGGAGTTGTATTTTGCATCATTCACCCTGGTTTCAGTTATCCTCTTTCTAAAATTCTTTGTAGCCTCACAAAACACTGTTTGAGATACTCAAGATTGTGATGTCACAAGTAGTATTTTGTTATCTAGTTTAATTGTTTTCCCTCTGATAATTCTCTCTGTTGCCAATAAATGACAAGCAAATTGTTCTGTAACATATACTACTATCTAACTAAGGTTAATCAAGTTTTATTTTTTCCATTGGTATAGTTTTTTGGATCTTCTGTAGTTCTGTTTTTGGCCCTTCAAATTGTGTCTCTGTATTTGAACACTGGCAAAGTAAAACGCTGTTTCTGTCCTCATATTCACTCTCAAAAAGATGAAAATAGATTTTTTAGTCTTGCTCCCGGAGACTTATCTCTTGATCTTGAACTAGGCTTGGTCAGGATCTTAGCTGGAGGATTTAGTCTGCGTTACCTCACCTCCACATCAATAAGTATCAAATATACTGTTGTATATTATATGTTGGATCTCAAAAATACTACTCCTTAAGTGCCCCAGCATTATTGAAGAATGGGTGAAATGCCAACTGTATCTTAACCTTTTGATTCCTCTGTAAATTTCTCTAGGAGTTTTTTGAAAACCCAGCGTTTCGACCAGATGGGTTGAAGTTGTATCCAACACTGGTAATTCGTGGAACAGGTCTGTATGAGCTTTGGAAAACTGGACGTTACAAGAGCTACTCCCCCAGCGCTCTGGTTGACCTGGTGGCCCGTATCCTGGCCCTTGTCCCCCCCTGGACTAGAGTGTACAGAGTGCAGAGGTGAGAAAAAAATCTGTAATCACTCCTTATCAAACATTGCTTTATAAGTGAGAGTTAATATCCTCTGTAATAATTCATAGCTGATAACAATAAGTCAACAGTGAAACGATACATAATATTGATAAAATCTCTTGGCAAAGATTAGAGGAAAGTAACAAGAAGGGAACATTTAAAGAAACAGAAGTTGCTGGTCATAAGTTTGAGTAGAAGACACTTGCTTTTATACATGAATGATTGACAAACCTTTTTCAATATGAATCACCTGTCAAAACCAGGTCTTTAACTTTAAGGTTCCACAGTGTAACTTTGTACTGAAAAAATAAACTGAAACAGAAGCATATATTATCAGTCTAGAAGTTTTTATTGCACTAAAAAACATGGAAACTGGGAATTGTATTGTATTTATTGGATAAACTAGTCCACCATATGGTATAAAACGTATCATTCTCTGTGGAGAGTGATTTGAACTTTCTACTAGATGTTGTTTTCTTAGATGACATTTTCTTAGATGACGTGCTGCCACTAATAAGTTACTATTAGTATCTTTCTACTATTCACATTGATAACGGGGCCATTCAAAACCTCATCAGAGCATAAGATTACCTGCGTTATCCTCATTAAAGATTCCTAAATTTGAATTTAGCCATGCAGGGCAACTTCATCATAATTCTATCAATAGACAGCCATAGTGTTATGCACATAATACTGTGTGAGTCTTCAAAGCCAATTTTCTGACTCAGTTTGACTATGGGAATTGCAAGGTCTAATGGTTATGAGTCAGCTTGTTTTTCAACTTTTTAATTAACTGGTCAGTGTCCAGAGAGTACTCCCCAATAAAGTCCATTCAATTGTTTATGTACTATAGGAAACTATAATATGCACAAGTATCAAATGGAATGAAAATTAATTCAATTAACTTTGTTTTGGTCCTTTTTAAGTCCTTTCAGGCGTGTTTCTTTTATTAACCCATTTTAGATATGGTAATAATAATATTTAATACTTCAAACATAAAAATTATTCTACAATTTTAAGCAAATGTAATTTGAAAAATGTAAATTAAAAATGTGTATAAATTCTTAAGATATAAAATTTTTCCTGATCTTGTATATCTCAAGTAAGATGCATTACATATTTACAAATGTAGCCCTTATTTTTCTTGAATGGCCTTATTGTTCTTAAATGTGTCTAGAGTTAAAAAAAAATCTCCTCAAATAGAGCTGATATTAGTGGTTTACTGCGTTGGTGTTGTGTTGTGTTCACTATCACTGCCTTTATACTCAGGGGCTTTGTAAGTAATCAGCCCAGTCTGGATACAGCCATCAGGGCCTAATTTGTTTCCACTGCTCCGGGAAACGCTCGGACCATTTCATGCTACTCTCAAATGGCCTCGCATTTAGATGATTACAAGTGCTAGAGGTTTGCAAAAGTTTGAATTTTACATAGTTTTAGTGACGTAGTATTGCAATTCACTGGTTTGTAAAATGGTGGCACTGACACTGTTTGAATATATTCATTTTAAAAAGGTGCACTGTGTAACTTTTTTGGTGGAGGGTCCGCCACCAGCTTGTCTGCGTGGAAATGTTCCTGCTTTGTATGGTATGTTCCACAGTATGACATTAAGCATATCTATTTCCGTGGTAACAGGCAAATAACTCCACCAGGTTAACTTACAGATTAGATTTGTGGAGATGTTACCGTGCAGTATGAATGCATGTTTTTTGTTGAAGTTATGAGCAATAAAAATGTATTGCATTAAATGTAAGATTAAAGTTTAACGTCACACTATGGAACATTCAAGGCAAAGCAATATTATCTCCATGGAAACAAGCCAGTGGTATACTCTCCACTAAAATAGCGGCCCAGTGAACCTTTAATTTAGACTGACTTGGTTAAAATCCACAGTAGTTCAGATATTTGAGTCGTGAGTGCATCTTGTAAATTCCTTCTGGATTATATTGGTCTAATGCTGGTTTATTACTTGTTACTTGTTTAGGAATGGTTTATACGTGGCCTAATTAGATCTGATTAGTGCAGCTTTAGTCCTTGTTTATACCTCCTTAAAAGAAGGGTGTTATCTAGAATGTTCCACAGTATAATATTAAACTTGTCTATTCTGCATTCAGTAGTTTTGCCTCCAATACTGTATCTCCGTGGAGAAAGAAAACCAAAGAGCAGACCAACCTCCAGAAAAATTTGCTAAATTTAGTCTGTAATACACAATTTCACAAGTGCAATGTCAATCCTAAACTCCTCTCCTCCTTCCAATTCCTAGTATTTTCTTCAGACTTTACACTTTTGGGACTTAAAACCCAGTCCAGATGATTATTTTTTAAAACTCTTAGAAAGTAAATAATTTCATGAAGAAGGTGTGAAAAGTTAAAAAAAATGTGTCTGTACAGTTAAATTCTGCTCTCACCCCCACGTCTCTGCTTTATAGGGATATTCCGATGCCGTTGGTGAGCTCTGGGGTGGAACATGGTAATCTGAGGGAGCTGGCCTTGGCTCGGATGAAGGACTTGGGCACTGAGGTGAGAAACCCACAGCAGACACTCAGTGTATTTCAACCTGGGACTAGATCCAGAGAGGGTCCGGGAACCTCCTGCCAAATTATCAGTATCACTGTAGTATGCATATACTCAAGGAAGGACAAATGAGATGTTAAAAATCAGTGGAGCAGAAGATGGGTGGTGCTGATGTGTCACTCTATGCATAGGTTTTATTATACATTTCTTATTCTACTCGGGGTTAGTTATTATCAAACACTTTGTCAAATACTGCAGTAGTTTCAACTCTGAATTAGTTCTGGTTAAGTCTATGATTTACTGGTCCTTAGTCCTAGTTTAGGCCTAGTCTTGTACTAGTTATAGATTCTGTTAACAGTATGGCATTAAAGAACACATATTGTGCTTGAGCTTGCTGTATAGTTTTAATCTACGACACCCATGGATCATTATGTGTTCATTTGAGGATTTTACATCACAGTATTTATCTAAAACTGCTTAATTTAAAAAAAAAGTATTCCAGTGGGAGCAGATATTGTCATAAACATCATTACAACAAATTACTTTACATTACAACATGGTTAAAAGCTCTGGAAAGTCATTTTTGCATAAGAGATCTGTTTTAAGATATCTTGTTTATTATATTGCCTGTTTTGATGCCGTCACCTGCTTGCCTCCAATGAACTTGCTATATTTTATGCCATATTGTGGAACACTCCATGCAAAACAGCATGTCCTTTGTGTATAGAAGGTTCTGGGCTCCTTTTGAACTTGGATTTGTCCTGTATTAGTTTGGTTTAGTGCACTTCAGCATGGGAAGTGATGCAAAAAGGGTCCGGGAACCTCTGCCAAATAATGAATATAGCTTCCCTCTGTATATAACAGTACAGGAGGAGCTTTGAGCCACTGGAGCAGAGAATAGGTGTCCCCTATGTCAGTCACACTATGCACATGTTTATTAGATATAGATTTATTAGGTGAAGAGGCAGATCACTCATTGGGAATTCCTACTAGAACATACTTGTGACGCAAAGGATGAACTGAAATGAATCCCAACAATCGTTCATCTGTGACATGGTTGTTAAAGGTGCACTACGTAACTTTTTCTGGTGTCTAGCACTGAACTCCACTCTGAGCAATATGGCAAACAAAAAAAATGTCAAATGTATTCCTCCAAAGTATGAACTCTGTTCTAAATAACATACATTTGAAAGGAAAAAAAGTAATAACGGCCATATCTTCAACAAGTTCACCTGTTTGAGTTCTGCTTGATTATATTTACAGTGTCGAGATGTTAGAACCAGAGAAGTGGGCATTCAGGAGATTCACCATAAAGTCAGGCCTTACCAGGTAAACCACATTCGTCATGTTAATATTTGGAAGTTTTTGTTGTTTTGTTTTTTTTGTATATATAAAAATAATTTGTAAAGAAAGATTGTAGAGTGACACTATGTAACAAGTAAAAGATATAACATGTGACAGAACTTAGCAATTAGAAGATGCCATTTGTAAATATAATGTTAAAATGCTACGTTTTGCTCTTTCCAAACTCTGTTGATTGAAGCATAGGATTTCAGGCACTGTACTTGTATTGTATATTTCTCTTGGGGATAAATATTATCTTTTACGCAATCACATACATTTTGCTTGGGGCAATCAAAAGGTGAAAATGAAAAAAATAAAATTAGTGTGTGTCCATTCTGCAGCTGTCATACTATATATATTTAATTTGTCCCATAACCACATTTTGTTGTCAGGTGGAGCTGGTGAGGAGGGACTACGTGGCCAATGGGGGCTGGGAGACTTTCCTATCTTATGAGGATCCAGAGCAGGACATTTTGATCGGGTTGCTACGGTTACGTCGTTGTTCCCCTCAGACGTTCAGGCCCGAGCTCAAAGGGGGCGTGTCCATCGTCCGAGAGCTGCATGTGTATGGCAGCGTGGTCCCAGTCAGCAGTCGTGATCCGAGCAAGTTCCAGCATCAGGTTTGTGTCATGTATTTTTGTATTCCTCCACTCTTCCCACATTAGTTTTGAATAGAAATGTAACAGTGTAAAATATTTATGAAGCAACACCATAGATTGTATAAAGAAATGGACTAAAGGAGTGTGAGGTCCTCCATAGCATCCAGTCAAATGAAGCTCACCGAGGCAGGAAGTTATGGGGTGAATTTTCTTATGACCAAAATGAGGAGCCTGATAGCAGCACTTAAGGACAGAGGGGCAATATTTTTTTCAATACAAACTTGAGTTGTATTAAAAAAAAAAAACGTACTGTACCCATGGCAACACGTTTATAGAGCTTTGCTGATGGTCTAAAAGATTCAACAAATGTGTTTATTCCTTTCTGGAGATTTGTTATAAAAATAGCATTTAATTGTTAGGAATATGTCTTCCCATTATTTTTATTATTACATCCACTATCTGAAAACAACTATAGGATCTATACTTGTCTACCACTATGGGTAATATTTTTAACATTGTGGTCCTTATCGTAGCACCTTCGCACAGTGGTAAAACAGTTTTTCTTTGTAACTCAGGGTTTTGGAATGATGCTGATGGAGGAGGCGGAGAGGATCGCCAGAGATGAACATGGTTCCAATAAACTGGCTGTCATTTCAGGTAAAAAATAAATTCACAAATATATAAAATGTCGCTCTAAAACAAAAGAAACACATTTACCAGTGTTCAAAAGATCGTACCAGGATAATGAAACCTTCAGTCTCTGCCTTTTAGTTGTACAATTTATGTTCCTTTAGGGGTCATAAGGAGTATCTATAACATTATGAGAGCGTGAGGAGGTGAAATTGACTGATAATAGCAGTCAGTTCAGCCCTGATTGTTTGCTCTAAAGACATGACTTCTCTCAACGATCAATACTTTGCAATAATGATTCTCAAACAGTGGTACAGGGTCACTAGTGGTAAGCAGTCTTATGGCTATAATCAGAAATCTTGTTTGTAGTTTCATTTACAGACAGTTATGTCATGTGTAGCTCAGTGCTTAGACCAGGTTAAGGCATGGACTGGTGGAATTTCCAGTTCTGTGCATGCATCGACCTGGTTTTGTCTCAAGATCAAGTTAAAACCTGATTTAGTTGAGGTTTAAAGGTCCTATATTACACAAAATTGAGTCATGTGAGCTATTTGCCATGTTATAATCCTGTTACATCCTTCAAAACATGCCGAGAGTTGTGTTTTGTTTCTTTCACACATGTTGGAGTAAGCCTTTATTACTAGTCTGTCTACATCTCCAAAGCTCAAAATGATCTGTTCCACCTTGTGATGCCATGGAGTGGTAGTTTTCAAGTTAGCAGCTTCCTTTTACCTTTTGTTCTATTGAGATTGGCAATTTCTGTCTGAAAATTGTCCAAATGATTCTATGAATGTATATGGGGCATTTCCTGTATTATCGCATGACATCACAAGACGTTGTCAGTTTGAGAGTAATATAGTAATATAGTCCTTTAAGCTCATTTTTTCTATCTTAATTTCAGTTTAACTCTTGTCCATCTTTTATTACAATTGTGCTCTCTATTATTTTATGTATTAGTTGTTGCCTTAGTTTGCTATTAAAAGTTATTAAAAGTGATAAATAACTCTTTTCATTTTATTGCAGTTGAAGTAGCGCTTCAAATATTGTTAGCTAGCTCCATTCATACATAAAGTATATGGTCACGTGAGGATCATCCTGGTGGAGATCTGCATCCAGATCCCCCTCAGACAAAAAACATATTCTTGGATACATTTCTCATCTTATTCCTCAATTATCTTTGTTTCTTCTCAGGTGTCGGCACAAGGAACTACTATAGGAAGATGGGCTACGAGCTGCACGGGACTTATATGGTGAAGGATCTCTATGGAGCCAAAACGGAGTGAATGAATAATGCACAAATCATTTTATTTATCTGAACTGGATTCATCAGGGAACATTGTTCACACTGCATTTGATGGTGGTCATAAAAGAGGCCGTTGGTTGGACTCTATGGGACATGACGATAATGCTCTGTGGTTTTATTTTAGGAAGTGCATCAGTTTTTATGTGGGACACACCGGACAAAGACAGAATAGGGATGTGTACGGCGCCATGTTTTTAAGAGTAGCCTAAACAGGATTTTGCGTCATTCATAAAAGGTTTCAGGAAAAAGCTGAAATGTGCCTCAGTGCCTTGGTCCTTTATGAATGAATCTCATATTTGGATTGAAAGTTTCTACCAGACTTGTACAGTAAGGAAGAAAAAAGCTATTATGTTATTGCAAAAAATGTTGAAGCTATTTACCTTATCTTTTTTTCCCCACAGATTAGAGATACAGACTTAAAGATGCTATATGTAACTTTTCACCTGTTTGTCTCATGGATATGTTATTACTTTACTTGAAATGTTGCTCAGTATGGCATTATTATACATCTCTAACATGCATTTATTCAATTACTGGTGGTCAAAAAATACCTCAAAAAACAGGCATTCTGACTGTGAGTGGGGCTGCCTTTCCACAGATCTGACCTGTAACTTAGTCTGACTTGGTCTCCATGACGATAGAAAGGTTTATTACCATGCTGTGAAACATTCTAGGCAAAGCAATGACATCTCCATGAAAAGTTGCATCTTTAAATGTCATTCTTTGCCAGCAACCTATAGCAACCACCATAAAATCATATAGACTCATCTATACAGGCAACCTGAGTAAAGAGCCTTGCCCAAGGACACAACAAAAGTACAGTACAATAGAATTAAAGCAGTTTACTGGATGAGCTGGTTTTGAAATGTATTGTAGTATTTTAATGACCCTTTTTGACTGACTTCAAAAATAGGTCATGTACGATTTTGAGATAGATCAAATATACTTTGACAGTGCTCTTGGGTCACTTATTCAAAACACAATTAACTAATATTGAATAAAGATGTTAATTTATGTTTTAGTTATAGTGAAACATATAATGATATACATGACTTCAGCATCACCAAAGTCTTCTGTCGGAATGAGTGATGAGTGTCCTCAATGGGCAGCCGTTGTGTAATCGCTTTATAAGGCTGGAAATTAAATATTACATAATTTGCTTTTCAAGGCCGATCCCGTTAATCCTGTTTATTTTCTGTTGTCAGTGCTGGTACATTCTTGTCTTTTGTAATAAATAAAGGATACTGGGAGTATTTTTGTCCTCATATAGTGTGGATCATGTTAAGGAGATGAGCGCTGTATTGCCCACCCCAGTTTGCCTTCACTTCTTCACAACATGGTAGTTCTTAAAAAAACATAAAATCTTAGTCATGGATGAATTCTATAATTCAATGATGATGTTGGTTATTGAGAGGTTACAAGCAAAAAAGGGTACTGTTGCCATAGCAAATAACTATTCAAAACAAAATATTTAATGTTTTCAATGGTAGGTAAAAGGTATTGATGGTTTTGAGATTTTGTCATACTGTCTGATGTGGTGCAAGAGCCAGCTTTCTCTATTGATTATATGGTATTCTCAAGAAAAATATCTAGGTTAATTAACAAATATTGGACCTTAGTTAGTTAGTTAGTTAGTAGTTTATTTTCTTCGGTCAATTAACATAATCATACATCATATAACAATGATTTAACAAAAAAAAAACAAATTATGCAGTTAATGCATATCAATAAGGTTATTCTGTAGACTGAAGGGGTTTAGGCTGAAGTTTAACACTTGTTTTGCCAAACCCAATTAACATATAGAACAGGATATAAGATGGTAGAACTATTTACAGAAAAATGACACAGGTCTGTGCTTATTTACTATATTATAACATAATGTGTAATTGTAATAATGGATCAGATTTAGATAGTGCTTTTTTGAATACTCAAAAGATGTATCAAATATTACAGGCCTACAGTATGTTGTCATTTGAAAGCCAGCAACAGTGAAATGAAACCCTGATTATTCACAAAGAATTGATAACAGTGGAGGACAGCCCTGGTGGTGCCTTGCCCAGCTGTGCAGAAAATAGATGGAAAATTCCCCAATACATTATAACCAGTAATTAAACTAGAAGTGGATAACTGCAGATTGGCTCATAGGAAAGGTCAAAGCAGTGCATGGCCTCGGTTAATGCTTCTGTTAATATGTTTCAGTGTTGGGGGGGGCTCTGGTGGAAGACCCCTCATATCTGCCCTGTGAGAAAAACCACCACTTAGTTGGGGTAAAACTCCTGGACTAAATATTAGCCACAATTACATACAATCAATCATTGAAATTTGTTCATTAATCAAAAAGGACTTGAAGATAAGCCAATGTCCCACAATTACCTAACCAGACCTGAAGAAGCCACTTGGACAAGCGGCTAAACGTCTTCACACTAAAACTTTTGTCCAGTCGATAGAATTGAATTTTCTTTTGCTATGGCTCCCACCTGGATGACCGAGGCATTAAAGAGACATCACGGCACTATACAAGCAGGTGACACCACCAGACCGAGTTTCAATCCAGATCTGTGGACGGCTTAAATTCATGTTTTCAGGGTAATTTTGAACAATAAAAGCATGATGTTCTCAAAATGGTAAAATGATGATGGCCACATTTTTATACAGCGCTTTTATACCTTCAAGGCACTCAAAGTACTTTACATCAAGGAACAACTCACCCATTCACACACACACATTCATACACCAGTGTTGTACACAGGCACTGGGGGCCAGGGGTGTTAAATGTCTTGCCCAAAGACTCAACAACAGCCTTCATCTGAGGGAGCTGGAATTGCTCCAATGATGTTTATGTCAAGAGCAGGATTTGAACTGCCAACCTTTGAATCAGTGGACAAACACACACTGAGCTATTGTTGCAGAGCTATAAGTTTTAATGCCATACTGTACAACATTTCAGGTCACAAAATAACATCTCCATAGTGACACTCTGAAAAAGTTACAGAATGTACCGTTAAATCACTATTTCTGACACGTTTCTCTTTTGTGAATGCTCTCCATTGTGGGAAACCCTTCATCACTGCCCTATGACAAAGCCTCATTGACTCGGCCTTTCCTCCTCCATTCATCTCCTTATGTTCACGTCTTGATGAACTTACTGGAAAAGCGTTGGCTGTCATTGCTCATAAGGTCTGAGCATTGACCTCTCCAGAAGGCTGCACCTCGTCTGATCATTTCCTGGATACGGCCCCCGAGTCGTGACTTGTGGGTTTGCTGTTGCAGTCCTGACGCAGTGTGGAGCAGTAGACCATCTCTCTCCCCCCCGTCTCCACGCTTGCTCACCCATTCACTGGTGTTATCAGCTGTGAAATCTGAACAGACCAACTCCTCCTCTCTCATTCTCTCTCTCTCTATATCTAAGCATTCGAAGCACCATTTTGGTTTAATCTAAAAGTAAATAAGTGAAGTTAAAAAGAGCTGAAATGATAGGTGAGTTTGTACACCAGACTTCAAATAAAAATAATGTGACTTTCTCCACGAGTTCTGCCCATATTTTAGTCTCTGTAACATACTGAGAAAACTGTTGACTACATTTAGAGATCACACGTTATGCAAAATTGACTAACTGAGAAAACTGAACTATATTCTCTTTCTGGTCAGAATGTTATAAAATAAAGCTCAGATTAAAATCTAACTTGAGTAACAGAACTTCAGACAAAGCAGTGCTTCTAGTTAGCTTCAGATCCTCAGGGAATGTTGATGATATCAGCTGCAAAGTATCAATAGGCTAGTAATATTTTTGTTAACACGATGTCATCCTTTTCATTTAGGTCTATAACTTTGCTTTGTTTCTTCTTTGTTTCCATCTCAAGATAAAATAAAGCGAAATATAAGTAATCTTGTCTGTTCAAAGTTTCAAAACACAAAAGTCTTTTCTTCCTGTCTGCCAATGGAGCACCCCTGCTGTTCTCCCCGTGGGTTTGATCGTGTCCAGCCCTGCCTCCCTCTCCTCCCGCACACCTCAAACCTCAGCCTCTGCTCTGAGTTTGGGACTTTTCTGGTGCAATGTTTGAGTGATGTCCAGTGGAGAAGTCTGTAACTGGAATCTGAGGCAATCTGAGTGCAATGACCCCACAGTACTACCACAGACCCGACAGCAGCAGCGTCTGTCAACAGAACACAGCGAGGTTCAGGTTTGTCTCAAACTCGTCAGGATAGATCGATTTCACAATGAATCATTTTAATAAGACAGATTTCAAAATGGTTTCTAATTGAAATCTCATATACATATTGTACTTCCAAGTTGTACTTTTTTCATGACAAAATATGAATGGCGAACCATTACCATAGCAATTCAAAACTAAATATTATATCTTTTAAATGGGTAATCGTCCAAAGCTGAAACCCATGAACAGGCAACATTTTAAGGACTTTTCACCATTCAAAAGATAGGATTGCCATGGCAACGGTGGAAACCCATGGATATACTAATATAATATAAAAAAATAAGAATTTAAATATGCACTATGTAACTTTTCAGGTCAAGGTTCCGTCCCCTTCTTAATTCCATGGAAATGTTATTGATTTGTCTTGAAATGTTCACGGTATGATATCAATCTCCATGTAGACACCACAAGACTAAGGTACAGGTCAGATCTGTGGAGAGGCAACCCCAATTCCACAAAGCACATTTTTTTCCTAAGATGATTTTTAGCAATAAAGCACATATAAATAAATAATGAATAAATCCCATGGACAAAGCATTAATTTTCCACGGTGCTTTCAAATTACAAAGAGCACCTTCAAAGATACAGGATTTCCCCTCCCCAAAATTTCATAACTTTAGGTATTTTTGACAAGGGTGCAACATTACAATGGTAGATTTTCTTAAGTCAAGTTCAACAGAAATATAACTTTTTAAACTTTAATACATACTGATTGAAATATAATATAGATATCAAGTTGGAAGACAGTTTTATTTTAATCAGATTTTATTTTTATTTTATATTTACATCTCATGTTTATGTAGTCTTTACACTTGATTACCAGCATAAGGAATAGCAGTAACTGAATAGTAGCACCTTAAGACAATACAAATATTTCAAGTAGAACAAAATCTGTTGTTTTTGTTTAGGAATAATTAAATGTTTGCCCATGGTGGCTATGGAGATAAAGTCAAATAGTTTAGACATGTACAGAAGAGGAGCAGCAAATACAATGGAAAAATAATGCTGAGGTTAGAGTAACAGAGCAAAGGCATGATTTATAGATGACATAAGATATTTTCTTGACACACAAACAATGGTTAGAGGAAAGTAGATATTGATTGTGGGAGTCCGATCTGAATCTGAAACTAGAGGTAACAATATCTGAACGACAAAATTTGAAATCGTGATGTCATGAGTGGATTTATCGCCTGCTTTAATTTCCTGTTCCTATAAGAGTACGCCAGAACCATATGAACCACCATCACTCACTCTGCTCCGGCTAACTGCTAACCTCAATATAGAGGATAAAGTTAAACCATAAAAGATAATACAGAAAATACACCAATAGATTTTAAAGACATCAAAGAGGAAACTTAAGACAATTTACAAATGCTTGTTCAAGTTTTCAACAGCACAAAGGCAGAAGAGTAAATGCACTGGATTTTTAAATATGTTGATACCATGGTCTGAAGCAAGGGCCTAACACTATTATTGGAACAAATACAACACTCACTGAAATTTGCCGTTATAACTTCATGTGTGAACTCAACATATTATACTGCATAACTTTTTAAAAAATATATTTTTGGTCTCAAAAAAACTAAATAAATGGCTTTATATAGTTTTAGTTTTTTCCTGGTTTAAATATAAAACAAATTTTCCGTGTCAAAAAATTCAACTAATTTTGAAGTCCTTCAGTTTAAAATTTAAAGGAAACATAAGCTTAGTTTTTAGTTCATGCTGAAGTTGGAAGTGGCAGCATCAAAGCACATCAACTATACTATATTGTTAAAAGTCCTACATTACAAAAATGACTCTTGTGAGCTTTAAGACATGTTATAATGTTGTTACCTGCTCAAAAACACACCTGGAGTTGTGTTTTATTTCATTCACAGTCTGAGTAACCCAGGGGTGTCCTAACTTTTTTCATCAAGGGCCACATATCTAAACACAGACAAAGCCGAGGGCCGTAGACTGGTGCTCAGTACAGGGAATAATTGAAATGTGTGCATGTTTAACATGTTAAAATGAGCCATCAGACTTTATTCATGTTAAGATCCTTAAAACCACACACTAAATATTAAATATCGGCTTTATCAAGGTAGATTTTTAAAACCTTGCAGTAAAAAAATATTTTTTAATTGATGCAAATTTGGGCCAATTCACCTGGAAGTCTGAGGGCCGCATTTGGCCCCCGGGCCATAGTTTGGACATGCCTGGAGTAACCCTTTATTATTAGTCTGTCTCCATCTCCAAATCTAAAAATGCTCCGTTCCACCTTGTGATGCCATGTAGTGGTAGTTTTGAAGCTTTTCCTTACCATATGACATCACAATGTGGAACTATGGAACGTTTAATGCTTGAGAGTAGAACTCTCAAGTCTAAATATGCAGGGTTTGAGCATGAATGACACAAAACACAGCTCCATGTATATTTCTGATGCGGAGACATAACATAGATCAGAAAATAGCGTAATATGGGCTCTTTAAGATTAGCTTGTTCAAGTCATGCTCAGTCAAATAATTGCCTGAAATAATAGTTTTTGGACAAAACAGCAATTACAGACCTTTATAAACATTGAAATATTTGAAAAGCAGCAGGTATCAAATGCTCTAGTCCCTTTTGTGTTTTCACAAGGGGCGGTCAGTAGTCCCCTTTTAGTGCACACCATGAATTCAAGTCATTTTAAAAAGTGCACTATCTAACTTTTCTGGTGTAGCCTCCATTACCTGCTTGTGTGCGTACAGATGTTATTGCTTAGCCTGAAATGTTCCACAATAAGGCATTGAATTTGCCCACCCCCAAAGTGATAAGCAAGTTGTGCTACCCGGCAAAGTTACAGGTCATACATGTGGAGAGGACACCCCGCTCATAGTAAGAATGCATGTTTTTCCATGATATTTTCGAGCAATAACAAAACTTGTAATTGAAAAACATTTAAAATCATACTGTGGAAAATTCCAGTAAAAGCCTTAACATCTCCATGGAAACAAACTGGTGGTGAACTCACAAGAAAAGTTACATAGTGCACCTTTATCCCAACGTTCCCTTAAGATGTTTATGCAGCTAGATCACATTAACACTCATCAATACCACGTCACGCAGGCATTATCATCTCTCATTTTACCACAACAAAAACAAGTCCTCTGCTTTACTCATTTATTTATGAGCTCTTGAATGTAGCATGATGCTGCTTGGGCGTGCAGTTTCCATTAGCGTCTTTTAGGCACAGTGGGCATCCTCTCTGAGCGCGGTGCGAACTCTGGCCTCCAGCTGGTCGGCGCGCGGTCTGGAGAAGGGGTCCACGGCGAGCATGTCCAGCAGCAGAGCACATACGTGGGGGCCGGGGGTGGGCGGCAGCGGGGGCGCCCTCTTGAACTTCATGGGGATGCACAGCTGGAAGTCCGGGTTCTCAGAAAGAGCCTCGCCCAGGGGCATGAGCCAGCGGCCTTTACACGCATAAGCACCTACGGGACGCAAACACACTCCATTAACTACAAGGCTACATGTTATATATAGATCACACTGGTATAGTAATATTAGCTAATCCAATATACTTTATAACAAGAAAACAATGTAGATAGTGCCAAGTTCTTCCATCTGATAACATATTTTTACCTTTGTCTGAAATAAATGTTGTTATTCTTTTGACTTAAATGTACACTGCATTTCAGCTCTAACTTTTCCGGTGGAAGGTCCATCACCTGCATGTCTCATTGAAGATGTGACATGATTTGCCTGTAACATTCCACAGTATGACATTAAGCATCAGTGGAGACAAGCAGGTAACAGTTGAGATTTTTTTTTTTTAACAATAAAAACACCTGTAATTGAATTCAATAAAAGATATTTCAATTAAAGCAATAACATCTCCATGGGGACAAGTGGCGGACCCCTTCCAACAGAAAAGTTAAAGTGGTTTCAGTCATGAAGGTGATTTTCTCAAGTCCCAATTTTGCCTTGTTTCAGTCCTGGTTTAGTCTTGTATGCTTTTTTTATTTTGACAGTAAAAAGTAGTAAATATAAAATAAATTACATTTGAATTGAACTTTCTATATCAAAATGATATGATGAAATATTAAAAGTCAGGCCGCCAGCTGTTCTCACTGGCCTTGAACGCATCGTCTGCCCCTGTGAACTTGAATGCATCGTCTGCCGCTGGGCTGTTTGTGTAGAGACAGCACAGGCGTCTAATCACATTCATGAGAACAACAGCGAGAGTAATACATGAAGGCAGGGCGCACACTGGACTGTGTGTGCGTACGCTTTGAACAGAAGTGATTGTGATACCATATTAGTATTAGTGTCAACTCTTGTCTGTTGCTTCCTGACATTGCACATATGAAAATACACTGACCACAGGGAGGGAAAACCACATTATCAAACCCATGCGATGATCGACAGTTTGAACAATTATATTAGAAAAGATAAATTAGTTCTGTAGACCCAGAAAATTAAGTCTAAACAGCATCAAAAACGGGTTTATGTGTAGCTAAAGATGATTTTGCAAAAAGGTGATTTTCATACAACCCTCTATAATCATTGAGGAGCCAGGTTCAACTTCAGAACAGTGCAGATAGCTGTAGTATCATAATTAATTACTCTCTTGATTCAACAAGAGAATTAAGATTGATGGAGTAACACCAATAAATTATCCCCAACTTGGACAAAATGCTATGATGATTATCGGAGCTATTAAAGCAACAGGTTAGCGCAGTAGTAAAACAAAAAACAAAACAAAAAAAACTGCATCATCATATATCATTTTAAACCTCTTCAGTGCTAACATTAAGAACTCCATGTATAAAAAACTAATACAACTAAAAACAATTATATTTACCTGACTAATCATTTAAGGTGCACTGCTTAACTTTTTTGATGGAGGGTCCGCTACCGGCTTGCTTTTCATTTTTTGCCTAGAATGTTTGACTGTCTGCCATTAAACTTCTACAGTATATCTCCATGGGGACCAACAGGTGACACCACCTGGCCAAGTCACAGGTCAGATCTATGGAGAGGCAGATCCACACACAGCAGCACATTTTCAATGTATTTTTGAGCAATAAAAGTCTGTAAAGTAATAAATACAAGACTGATATGTTTAATACCTGTTTAATACCATACAGTGGAATAGGGATGTAACAATAACCGAAATATTGTGATATCGTATTGTTAAAAGTCTCTTTGCTCAAATTCATTGTTATGGTGCAGCATGAGCTAAAAACTGAGCAGAACTACATAGACCTGCTCTGTTTTAGTGCTACTACACGAAGAAATAACTTATGAATTTTTTAAAATCTAAATTATTTACATGATCACAGAACCAAGAACTTGTCAAGGAATTTTAAATAGAAAAAAGTAGTATATTCACAGTTTTGTTAGCCTCCACATAATATTGCAATAAATATCATACTGTGAGATGAAAACCGTGAAAGTATTGTACCAAGAGATTTGGATATCATTTTCGTCCTTTTTTTCATCCTCATTTTGCAAAACAATAACATCTCCATGGAGACAAGCAGGGTAGACCTTCCATCATAAAAGTTACATAGTGGATTCTATTGAAAAATATTATACAAGGGAAAACCATTTGATAGGTATTTGTTGGTATATTGTCCAGTGCAAACCTGTAGACGGAGACAAAGTCAGGTGGGGTAGTTTCTTGTGTGAGGGGCAGATAATAATTGAAACTTTAAGCCTCCTGTCTCGTCTGAGTGGATTGCACCTGGTACAATCAATGGTCTTTTCCGAAACTTAGAAAAAGATAGAATAGAATAGAGCAGTTCTTCATCCTTCTGTGAAAACCCTCTAGCCGCCGCCGCCGCCGCCTCCTCCTCCTCCTCCTCTTCCGCCTCCTCCACTTTCTTATTGACAAAGAGGATTGCTATGCTGCCTGTTGCCTGCTATATTCTATTTGGGCTTTGTGATATGAATTCTGCTGTCCGTTTATAAGAGTCTCAGTCTAATGGAGTTTATGTGGAGTTTGAAAATACCATCAGGTTTGCATTTGGGGGGCTTTTTGAAAATAAAATGGCTGAACGTTTCATTTGAGCGGAGCAGAAAGACTCAACTGGTCCCAGTGCGCTCGTACATTCAAATGAATGTAGGGTCCATGGTCACTTGGGTATTCGGACAGGGAGACCGAAACAAATAAAAAGACCATTGTTTGTGGAAATACTAATAGGAAACAAAGTATGTTGTAATTGCAATAGGTCTCAAGGGGGAGGTAAAGGAAATGGCAAAGTTTGGGAGTTGGACAGTTGCTATACGGGCTCAATGAGTAGCATAAAAACAATGAGGTGAGCAATTTATAGAATTATTGCTAAAATCATGAATGAAGATAAAACCAATATATTAAATTTGCTTTGTTGATAATTTAAAAAAGAGCTGATTAAATTTTTTTAATTGAACAAATTTATTACAGTATGACATGGTCCTGCTCTTTTGTGAGTCTTAATTTCTCATAATTAAATCTAAACTAATACATTGTTAAAGGTTGTATAGAGGATTTTTAAGGGAAGTGAAATACAGCGACCATCGTTTTTCAAATGTTGTCTCTAGAAATCACATTTGTTTACATCCAGTGCATGTTCAGAATTACTGAAGTATTTTAGCGACCGACGCGTCAGTTTTTAGACCCTTCGGACTTTCTTTTGCTGCGAACTGGTCGTGGATTCTCGTCCGCCATTGCAACAAACTTTGTGTGAATTGCGAGGAAGCTACAGTTTGAAAAAGCCTCTAAGAACCGCCGCATAAACCACATAATCCCCGAGCGCCGACGACTCAGTTACACTAGGGAGTTTGATTGACAACCTAACAGCCAATGGAAAAAGAGGGAGCCTCGTTTTCTATTAGCTGATGTTTATCTGGCCTCACTGCGTCCACAACTGATACATTTTCATTCTTTCTTTTTTTTTCGGTCATCATAATTACAAGGCTGCTGTGTCTCTGTAATAGTATTTTAAACTTTCAATGACAATTTGAAATAAAAAAAAATCCTCCATACAACCTTTAATATATTTGATCACATTTCTGTTAGATTGCCAAAATATTGTAAAACAATCTAACCCTAAACATGGTAAGAGGCAAAGTGTCTAGCCAAATGACAATGGCATTATGTAGCACAAGCTGGGATCAAATCTCCAATCTTCAAGTTAGGCAAGAGCAACTAATTAAATCAATTAACACAGTGCCATATGATAAGAGCTAGGGATGGGACGAGACACAGTTTCCATGAGATGAAATATGAGATTGGGTCCACATACCTTAACACAGTTCCTAATATTTCACGATTTGCTTTCCATTTTTGGTCACAGAATTTTTTTATTTATTTTTTTCATATTTTTGTTTCCATTCTAGTACAGCTTTATGGAAGTCTAAGACACATAGCTCACCAACACATAACCCTTTTTTCCAATCCAAATGTAAGATTTTTTTGTCTACATGAGATCATTTGTCTCATGTGTGTTGCGGCAATTTTGTCTCATGAGATCTTGTGGCACTGATAAGAACCTCATTAGCATAAGGACATCTTAAACTTGACAAAACAATTTATAATTAATAGAATGCAATGGGATTCTTTCATTATAATCCCCCACAGGGTCAATCTCTCAAAATTCAGATAACTCATATTTGATGAATTCAGTGAGGAGCTCACCTAGTCTTATTTATGAATTTTCTTTCTTTTTTTTTTTTTTTATTTCATCAAAACCGTCTATGATACTAAACAAATCATTATGTATGGAGCATTATTAACATAAGAATGCTTCAAAAATGGCAGTAGAATTTGCATTAAGAGCGAACATTGAGATTCCTGTTGGCTTCTGGGCAGTGTAAGCTTCATTACACTCTGTCAGCCTGTATTAGGACTGGACTGGGCCTGTAATCGCTGTATCAAATGTAAACCACATAAATCATCCTTCAACACTGTGACATTCAGATTTATGATTGCACTATCCCTTTGCTGATCGATTTATGATCTATAGTATGTGACATTTTTAATAAGCTGCTGCTAATTGTGCACTGACATCATCCACCTGCCCCACTGCAATTTGACCGTTTTTGTAATACCTAGTGTGCATGCAGATTGGAAGTGAATTATCATGGTAAAATGGGTTGGGTTCTTTACTATTTAGAAAAGTAAAAAACACTGAGAGAAAGCTAAAAGTTCTAGACACAAGTGCACTGAAGTTGGGAATATTTTGCTTTTTAGACCTGCTGCAGCATCCAGGAAGTAATGAGGAAAGTATTTTAGGCATGGGAAGTGATGCTTTTGGATTCAACTGTGTCTTTTTGATGCAAGAACAGTTCCTGGTTAGTTAATGGGATGTTGTATAGTTCCCGAAATAATACCCAACTTTCACACCAAACAGTAATGCCATCTGCATGGAAAAATGTAAGTTGTAAAACGTAAAAGTTTTAAAGCTATTTGTACATTCTGGAAGATACAAAGTAGATAAATTGGAGTTGCAATCAATAATGTAATTTAAATGGTTGCAATGAGCTATTCAGAAAGCCTGCAGTTATTTCAGTGATACGAAGTAAAGTGAAGTAAATACCCAGCCTTCATGGGGTCTGTACTCCATCAACCTGCTACCCTGTAGTTAAGATCTTGTTCTAGTTGGCTCATATTCTTCCCACAAATGTTAAGGCTCCTTGTATTAATGGAAAATTTGATTTGAAAAATAATGCTGCAAATAGGTTCAAATAAATTTAAGTTAGAGTTTTTTCAGCTCTGGCCCGAGATCTTTTTTGTATAGCTTTCCTAGTTCTGTTAATTGCTTACCCAGTTGTTCCTCTGTAGTGCCCTCCTCCAGGAAGGTGATTCTCTCCAGGACTGCCCAGAACATGACACCCAGTGAGAAGATGTCTGCCTGGGCAGTGTACGACTGTCCGCCCCACACCTCTGGAGCCATGTAGAAGTCAGAGCCGCAGGTGGAGGAGAAATGCTGTCTGCAGAGGTCTCCAGCCAATGAGCCCTCTGCCATCTTACTCAGACCAAAGTCTGCCACCTACAGGAAAGGGAGATTATGGCTTCAGGCCAAGTAGGTAGAATAAGAATACAACTGACAAAAAAAAAAAAAGTTGTTTATTCAGTGTTGTCTTTTAGATTGATTTGTGGATGTTTGAGTAATGTACTGTATCTGTACTGTCCTGCAATTGGGGCTTGGGGCTCTTAGAAAATTTCAGCTTTCACCAACCCCCTAGCTCCGCTCACTGCTATGTACTTACTAACAGTTATTCAAACAGTCCAGACTCATTACTTGTGGGGTTAAAAATGTTGCAATAGTAATATGGAACTGAAAACCTGTTGCTAGGTACAGTGAAATGCTACAATAAAGAGGAGAGTCAACGCATTTCTATTACTAAGCTGTTTCAGATCAATACTGTGGTTTACAATAATGTATTTATTTTATAGCTTAATACAACGTACCTGAGCACATATGTCTTCTTTAGGGGGCATAAAAAAAGTATATTATTTTCTATATAGGAGCAACTATTCAAATGTCATATGGTTGTTAAAAATGAAATGTAGAAGTCCCTAGTACTCTAAGGGGGTAGAAGACACATTTGGTGGGTATACATGTTGCCAAGGGATTTGCACAATTATTGGCTTTGTCTATGAAGGAAGTCACATGGGACTGTCATGTCATTATATGCAGGCTCTTATATGTCAAACATGGAAGAGTTGAGTCAGGGGGAGTGTTTGATGCTCCCTAGCTCAGGATGCACTGTAAGGAAGCGTCAGTTATGAGTTCAGATACAAAAGCATTATTTTTAGACTCAAATATAAGTTTGCTATACCCTATACTTGAAATCTTTGAAACAAGCTACATTTTGCAGCAAGCCTCATTAGGGGTACGATTATTCATAATCAAGTTTAGTTTAGTAGTTAAAATTAGATTAAATCAGGTTTTTACTAATTTCTGTATAAAATCACCTTTCATTATTTAGCTGTTAATTAGCAGAAAAGTTTTACTTCAATCCAGATCTTTTAATTTTCTTTTTTTAACTGAAAGTCAACAATATGAAAAGGAATAATTTCCAATTAATCTTGTAAACATATTTTGCAACATTTGGATTATTAATGTAATACTTCTCTTTGTCCTTTGCTCCTTTAACAATGCAGATTCATCACTATTGTGAAAAAAATAAGTCTTACTAAAATCATTAAAATCAAACAGTTATTGGGTGCATTGAAAACACATTTAACACCTTTGCTTACCTTCACCACAGGCCCTTTGTCAGTGACACACACCAGCACATTGGCAGGCTTTAGGTCTCGGTGCGTGATCCCTAATCGGTGAAGAAATGCAATAGCGCTGGACAGCTGGAGCACTACACTGTGATTCCTCTCTTCATCTGGAGGTCTGGGCAAGAGGAACTGATTCAAATCCCCCCCATCACAAAACTCCATCACCAACCACAGCGCCAGGCATTTTAACTGCGTGCCTTGGGTCTCCTCTTCGGGTGCAGGCCTCCTCCTTGCTCTTTTTGCTGGTCTTTGTGGAGTCATAGCATCGCTTTTAGATTTGTTTAGGGATGTATTGGTCCTATCTTGAAGTCTAGACAAAGAGTTTTTTCTTGTTCGCTGATTGCTTGACTGTGTGCTATTACTTTGCTCTTGACTTTGTTTCGCTCCCATTACTGACCCCTTGAGGACACTTTCTACTAAACATAAAGGTAGTTTTCCAGGTCGTAGCGGCTTAAGAGTCCTTGGCCCAGTCTGGAGCAGGCAGTTATGCAGTGCAATGACGTTAGAGTGGTTTTTGGCAGTAGCTCTCATAGCCCACAGCTCCTGGAGGTATAGCTCGATGCATTCTGGGCTGCTGCAGGGCAGTCGTTTGATCGCCACTTTTTGCCCCGTTTTGGACATCTGGCCCTCGAAAACAACTCCATAGCTGCCTCGTCCAACTTCCCTCGCTAAAGTGTAAAGCTCCTCCATTTATCACACGAGTAACAAATCTATAAAACGCAACAATACAGTAATTAGTATCGAGGTTCAAAGCAGCAGTACCATCAACCTCATGACTTGCGATAAATGCTAGCTCTCGGAATAAAAACTTCGATTAAAAAACAGCTGAAGATAACGTTATAACTTGTGAGGCCAGTGAAGTAGAAACAGTCAGTAAATACAACATATAACAAACAAGTTAGCGTTATAACTCACCACACAATGAATGGCGTTGGCTAGGCGAAAATGTTAAAAGGAAGAGAAAAACTCACGTCAACGTGTGCTCTGTAGGGCATCAGCCAGCAGCCTAAAGATACCGCAACATAAAGGAAATGAAAACGGCACCGATTAAAAAGAACAAAAACTAGCTAAAGTAGGTATAATTTCGGAGTTAACGGGATTTAATGTTGCTAAAAGACAACAAACCAGCAGCAGCCACAGACTTCCGTATCTAAATTTGGAACGTCCCGCTTTTGGTCCTATGAGCATTGTGATTGGCTGCCAAAGCGTTCTAAATCAAGAGCGCGTTTGCCATTGGTTGTAATTTGATTCGAATTGTACAAGCCCCGCCTACTGATAAAGACAAACGACTTTTTACATTTCAAAAACATCATCTTAATAATAAGAATCTATTATTTTGAATTATTAGGAGTATATAATATTTTGTAGGTGCGATACTGACCAGAACAATTAACGCACATTTAAAATAAGGTGTCGTAAGATGTTATGTAACAAGACAGCAAGCTGAGTTGTACATTTGAATCAGCGGGTGGCGCTATTGTACCCAAAGTTTGAAAAGTAATTTTTATTTGCCTGCTGTAGCATGCAAAATATAATGTTTCTTACTAAATTTATTGCACTGCATGCCAAAACTAAGACTTCACCATATTTCAGGTAAGCCTATAGCCTATATAAAAGAGCACTGTAGCAAACGACACTTATTGGTTCTAACATTGGAGACCAAATTTTAGTCATATCCATATGTAACATTTGATGAAATAGGCAGGCTAGCTAGGGGTATATTTGATCTTTTCGGGATGTTTTTTGTCAGAATACAAATTCATAGACTGTATATACATTCTATCTGTGGGTACTCTAGACTAGTAGCAGTAACCTAATGTAGTGGCTGTAGAAGTAGTTGGCCTGCTGAGGATTAGATTTAATTTACTCGTGTTAAATTATGGGTTAATTTAATTTAGTCCCATTTACTTGGTTTATCCGTCAATTACATTTTTGTGTTGATTTAGACCTATATTTTGTCTCATTTTAACCCACTGAATCTTCCCTGTAATGTCTGAACTGCAATTTAATAGACTACCATTCATTCAATGTTATAGATGATAACAAGTGTGAAGTACATGTGCATGTTTGTATAAAAGAAAATACATAAACATTATCCATACTCATCACATCAAAGGAACATTATCGCAAAGCTTGGGTGATTATTTGATTCACAGTTTTTATCTTTAATGCCAATCATGAACGCTCCTCTTCATTACTGCAGGAAGATGGAGCCAGTCACACTCCAATCGTTTTTATCTTGACGCAAATGCCCTCTGTTCTATTATCATATCTCACTCTCTTTGACATATTCCCAGATCTACAACACAGTACTGGGCATAATATAGCATAGGCTACTGACTGGGGAATTACTGGATGCCATGTTTTGTGGGAACCTCACCAGGACAAGAGCATTTCAGGCTAGATGTTAATGTGTCTAATAAGAATGATAGTTTAATCACCTCTGTATTCTGCTAATTGTGTTTCAGTGGGGGCTTCACTGGCTAATTATGGAAGCTGCCAACAGGAGGGACAACAGTAATTATTTCCTTGATTGAGGTCAAAGCCCCTCCATTTAATCCAGAGGAGGTCTATCGTGAGCGCTGCAAAGAGAAAACAATATTGGAGGCGTTCGCAGCAGGTGACTGTACTAATGGAGATGTGTGTGCACTTAGCAGCTTTTGTACAAGGGAAACCAGGATATTCTATGGTCTTCAAAGAAAATATAAGCTATTCAGTTTATTTATTTGTACATTGCGAGGTTAGAGTAGAATTTCTGAGCAACCAAAGCACTTAACACTGCCATTGAAATAGAAATGAGAATATAGTTTTGAAACATTGTTTAATATGCAGATTTGATTGGGGATACATTTCTGTGATTATGCCAGTTCCTCTACAACTTTTGAAAATAGTTTTGTATTCAGGAGGCAGTATTACATTTGTTATTCTAAAATCATCAGCCATGCATTCATAAAGGCTTTAATATATTTTGAGAGCCTCAGTCTCTGTTTAATGACTTTGATCTCCATTTTGAAAAGCACCAACTTTAGTAGATTTATGAAAAGGCTCAACCAGCATTTCAGTTGCTAAGCAAATTACAAAATGCTTTTCTGTTTTGTTAAAATTACATTTAAAGGTACACTTTGCAACTATTTTAGTGGAGGGTCTGCCACCTTGCTTTGGAGATGTTGTTGCTTCTCATGGAATGTTATGACATTTGAATTATCTATCTCCATAGAGAAAAGGAGATTAAACCTTTACCAAGTTAGGTATCAGGCCTGTGGAGATATGAGCCAGCTCACAAAAAGAATATATGCTTTGTATAGCAATAAAACATCTGTATGAATGAAATGTCAGATTCTTGCATTCAGAAGCATAATGTGAAACATTCCAGGCAAGAAAAATTATTTCCATGAAGATAAGCAGGCAGCAATTCCCCACAAGATCTCTATAAATGGACATTTCATTGAGATCTGTCCCCATACCTCAGGTTGTGAAACACTTTCCCTAACTCCATTTTGCAGTTCAACACTCTTATGTAATGTCATTGATTTACACTCAACCCTATAAAGTATTGCTGCTTGTCCCACTAAACGCTTACTCAGTGAAATCAAACTTTATGCACAGTTTTTTGGGGCTTGATGCTGCAGATTTCCAGAACACAGGTTTGATTGATCTTTTATGCAAAAAATAAGGGCAGGCAGTTTTAGGGGGAATAAAATGCATTTTATTTATTGCCATAAATAGAGATCACGTATGCATGGACGGAGCAGTACTCCCTTTTATTAGATCAGTGTTCCTCAGACTGTACTGCCTCTGGTGTTACACGATGCCCACTGCAGTTTCTTTTATTTACTGACAAACGTGTTAACAATTTTTGTCATCAGTTGGGCTAATCATTATTTAGAAACAACCTTATCCTGTTTTAATTTCATTTTAGACCTAATTTAGGCCTGATAACATTATAAATATGTTGAGGTTTTTTTTTTGGATACCACTGGGGGTAATTGTGCTACAGTACACAGGCTATTGTCCAGGCCTCTTAGGTACTTATAGAAATTATTTTAGTTCTTTGGGGGCACATTCATGTAAAATGTTTTTTTTTTTTTTTTTCTCTCATTAAAAGTTATTTTCCAGTTTTTTCATGCAGACAATACATACAGACCAGTTATGACTAGTTTCAGTGGGTTTATGCAGTATATGATTTTATTTAGTGTTGAACATTACTAGTAGGGCTGTAGTCCTTTAGTCAGTTCATCTATAAGTGTAGTTGTATTTCACTATTTTATTAGCATTATAAGGACTTATATGGTCCCCAGCAGACAGAAGAAGGCATGGAGTGAGTTAACCAGAGTTTTGGGAGTGCCCTTTCACTTATGAAGAAAATATTGACTAGTACATCTTTGTTTACATTGGGATGCTTCCAGTTCCATCAACTGTGGCTCCAATTGAAAAATTGCTACTCCTCTCTCTGTAACTGCTGCAATGAGCCTCATTTTGGTCTTAAAATGTTCATTTTAAGTTGATGATCCTGGTGTCACCCCGGGCGGCTGCTTTGTCGGCTGCCTTGTCGGCTGCCTTGTCGGCTGCCTTGTCGGCTGCCTTGTCGGCTGCCTTGTCGGCTGCCTTGTCGGCTGCCTTGTCGGCTGCCTTGTCGGATGCCTTGTCGGATGCCTTGTCGGATGCCTTGTCGGATGCCTTGTCGGATGCCTTGTCGCCCCTTGCCTACGACCGCCCCTGGCTATGGATGACATCACACTCCCTTAGTTCACTTTTTATACAGTCTGTGGTGAGGTCATATTGATTTTGAGAGCTTTTATGTCTGCCTCCCTAAACAGGAGTTTTTCATTAGCCGTTTTGATATTAATAGCATTTTGGACATAAAATTAAATTCCAATGAAAAAGATAACATAATCAACTTTTAAGACCCTTTGTAACGATATGCATGACAATCCAGTTGTATAGGCTGCAAACTCAGACATACGTTAATGCCATTTTGTTTCACATGAATAGTTTTATGTAATTGTATGTAAAGATAATCATGAACTGTGCCACAGTGCAGTCTGTAGATCTATCAATATTTACGGTATGTAAAAAAGAAGCATTAAATTATATTCTGTCAATTTGATGAGAGACAACAGGTCAGGTGTGAAGGATGAGCGGGTTTGGCTACATTTGATTGCATCTGCGAGTAGCAAACACAGAATTTAGGACTAATGGTTTAATCAGTATACTTTTTAAGCTTTTAAATTTGTCTATCGACAACCAACTATTAGAGGGAAATCTCCATTTGCTGTGACATTAGCCATTTGTTGCCAGTTATTTGCAAGAATGACAATTGATTGTTGATGCATAGTTAAATGCATTGTAATGTTAAATTGGAACAAATTTGTGTTAATGCTGTATTTCATAAAGTTTCATTTTTCCTGACACATAAGATTGATGGATAACACTTTATAGTAACTACACTTTAATTATCCTTAATAAAGCATGTACAAACAGTTCAAAATTCACACATAATTAATTAATCATTGATTTATATAGGGCCTTTCAAGACACTCAACGCACTTTACAGTTCATTGTTCATTCACTCCACATTCAGTGGTGGCAAGCTACTATTGTAGCCACAGCTGCCCTAGGGCAGACAGAAGCGAAGCTGCCAATCTGCACCTTTGACCACTCTGACCATCACCAACACTCATGCACACTCCACTTTCTTATGAGGCAAAGTAAATGAAGTGTCTTGTCTAAAAACACAACAGTTTTTGCCACTGGCGCTCCACTGTGGCACATAGTGTTCCCAGTGGTCTCCCATTCAAGTTCTATCCTGAGATCTGATAAGATCAGGCTTTGACAAGCTGGTATTACCACACATGTTTGAGTAACCCTTTATTATTAGTCTGTCTACATCTCCAAAGCTCAAAATCCTCTGTTCCACCTTTCAAGTTAACAGTTACCTTTTACGTTTTGTTCAGTAGAGATTGGCTGTTCCAGGGCTGAAATTATCCAAATGATTCTAGTGAAGATGTATGGAGTTCAAAAACTTAGTGGAGTACTTCCTGTATTACCACATATTACCATAAGGTGGAGAGAAGCCCTCAGCCTAAATATGCAGGATTTGTGTGTTAAAACATGTGTCAATAAAGCAAACCACAACTCCAGGTATGTTTTTGGTGAGAAAACACCATTATAACA